ACTACCCAGTTACTGCCAACTGTACCTGCACTGAACCCTTATTCAGGTATGACCACTACTACTACAGCTACTACTACTTCTGCTATCAGTGGCGTATTCTGGGTCCTTTCTTCCTTTTTGAGGTATAAAGGGAGTTGAAAATATGTCGGATTAAGAAGCAGTAAACTATGTTCATCTTCTGTGGTTGCGCTTTTTATTTACGAGGAACACCATGACTGCCGTCCGGAGAGTCGCTGTGAGGAATCCATTTTAGTGATGTTACTGGAATGCTTTGATAGGCCAGAAGCTTTTATGCAATGTATAAAAATTATTCTGAAGGTGCGAAAATTAACTAGAAAGTGCTAAGAACTCATAAATAAAGAACAGTTTAGTGCCCCATGTGCTAAATTAGGGCAGTTAAATTGGCTGGGAAGAAAAGTTCAAAATTTCTGCCCCTTGCCGAATACGCCACTAATCACTACTCTCAGTAACTGTGCTACTTATGCTTTTTTTCTTTTTCATTCACATATTTACACGTTTTTTTGCTGCATGCCATCGAAAGGATTTTAACTTAAAATTCTGCTTTGATCAAACCAGAACTTTATTTCATTCATCGGAAAGAAGTTAAGCCGCGGCTTTAGTGATTTTTCCGCACACCACGTCGTTTACGCCATGCATTGCATTTATGTCAAGTCCCTTTTGCTCATGCAAAGAATGTGTAATATGCTTTGTTCCATTCAGTCTTACTGCTCGATATTGATGCATGCAGCGCATACTATAACCGGTCATCGTCCTTTGATTTTCACTTTAAAAAACGAAAAACATCTGGCACAAACGCAGTGGCGAGTGAAATAAAAATCCAACAGCAGTGGCCTATTTTAAAGTGTGGTACCACAGTGACGGGTCCAGCTTTTTACAGAAAAAACGATACAGGCTTTGACTCCCAGTTTTGTACCACATGGGTGTGCTTAACCTCCTAGACAGAAGACAGTTACCAATGAACGTGTCAATTTAGCACCACAGCGTTGTGTCCAGGTTCCCTAAAAAGACGACACGATATACCACATTTTATTCAATCGCCAAGCAGGACAAATGTATACTAGCATACACACATGTTATGTGCTTGGTAAATAAGAAACGAAACTCAAAAACGCAAGAGCACAAAGACTCACAGCGTTTAAGATCAGCGCAACGGAAAAATTTAGCACTTAAACGTCCAATGTTTGCGAAGGGGAGGCCAAAAAGCAAGGTTGTTAATACTACCGAACTTTCCAACAGAATGAGCATGAACGGATTACGAAGGAACAGTTTAGCACCACCCCAGTAATCTAACACCACAGCACTGAGGCTAGTTTTTTCTTAAAAAAAAAGAAAAAAAAAAACACGAAGCAGTCTAATACCATAAAATGACCTTAGCTTTAGCAGTCTAATGCCATAAAATTAACGCAAAATCTCTGCCTCTTAAAGTTTCTTCGCCCAAAAGATGTATTTTTTGTGCCCCATTTGCTTGAATGCAGATTTTCTAGCATGCAGCGTTCTTGGACCCCATTGCCTGCATTTATCACTTTTCAGCCGATTTTTATATTTTTTTACAGAAATTTTGCAGCCCGTTCAAAAATTTCGCACCATAAACCCAAATTTTTGCATTCTCCTTCCTCATTCCCCCAACGTCTTTAGACAATTCAGTGCTTTCTCAGTAACGAAATTAGCGGCAACTATTCTCATTGTCCTTAAGAAAGCTAGGGCAAGCTCTATAATCCCGGTCGCACAATTATAAAGTAATACTGGAAATACTCGCAAAACCAGTTACAGGATTATCTCAGTGGAGACGGAATAAAAAAACACAAATTCTGACTCTTTGAGTTAGGGTCTCGTGTTGCTAAGCTTAAAAGCCTGCGTGTTTGAAACAATGGAATAAAGAGCATCGGACTAAGTGTCATGTGTAGGAAAACATGTTAGGGTGCAGTCATGCAGTCATTTTCAACTCTTAGCTTTAAACACAGACCGAACTTTGAAAACACCACCTGTTTTTTAAATCTAGAATTATTAATTTCCACTCA